TATTGCAGTTCAGGGCTCTATTTCCCGGATGGTCAAGAACAGGTCCTTGGCAGGCATGAAGTCCAAGCTTCAGATTTCCTTCGGCCATACGTTTCATTAGCTACCTAATGAACTGCACCCGTTCTTATTTTTTGTGCGAACAGAACCGATAGGTACTGTTCGATTGTAGGTACTGGCGATGTCAGTCGATTCGAAGATTCGAGATCATCGAATGTATAGGGGCCTTCACATTTTTTGTATTCGGAGGGTGTTTAAGCTATTGTCTTTGCAAGAAGTTCGAGCTTGGACAATACAGAGAGCATTGTTCGGTGAAAATGATGTGTGATCAGTCCCGAACAGGGCACGCCATCGCGTTGTGACCGATTCCTGAAAATACGACCCCCCTAATTCCATCCTATACGACCCTCCTCCTCTACCTAGCACTTTCTTAGATTTTCCCAACTTCCTATGATAGTTAACTCCTGACGGGGAGGTCGTCAGGGTACAACTGTCATTTTCAACTATCGGAAATAGTAGTTGTATAGATCTTTGGCAGTCCTCTCTCCCAACAACGACCAAATACGACCACTACCCCCTCCCCCTTATATCGTCCGGGAAACATGAAATCAATTATCAAAAAAGTTTTTCTCAGACTAATTGCGACCCCCTCGCGGTCAAATACCCCCCCCCCGTAGTGATCATCTTAACGATGGCGTGCCCTGGTCCCAATGCAGGAGGCGCTGGAAAGTGTGACTTGGAGCTGTGATAGTGAAGAAGCTATTCAACAGCCAGACAAATCACCGGAGAATATTATTGCAAGACTGAGAGCATCAAAATGTAGGGCATTGCGTAATTGGACAAGTAACACTGGGACACCGTGTATCTTGCCAGTTTCCACCCTCTAAAAGTGTTATCTCCTATTTGTTGGTAGACGGTCATTGTTACACTTCGTAAAGAATTATGACGAAAATTGCCAATGATAACAGTTTATATTGGTAGACGTTGTGGTATATCCGCCTTCAGTATCTCCTTCTAATGCTCTGAGCTCATAGCGAGTGTGTATTCCTTCAACACTTTCTTACATTTTAACTGTTATTACACATGAGCGTATAAGGCGTAGCTTCCCAACAGCGAAGCAAGTAAAAGAATTGCCGAAGAAACTAGGAAACCAAGTCACCAAGTTCCAGTATAAGAAGGTGTGTATAAATGTGGAAGTTAGGTACGCGTTAGATTATGCTTTTGACTATAGGTATGGAAACAAAAGTGGTTGTTTTGAATGTGGGACATTACCATGTCGCTAGAGAGTGTATTGGGTTTTTTTACGTTTACGCCAACTAGTTTTTGTGGGGTTATAGGCGTCGCTGTAGGGCCCATTAGTGTCTTTTCGAGGGGGTTTTTCTAGAAAACGCCGTGGTTAAGCATTCAGGCGGTTTGGTTACACCACAATAGTCGTGGGGTTCATAGTACGAGGTTTTTGGTTAATTGTAGTAGCGACCAATTTACCATCATGCAGGTGTTCACCTTGTACTAGGTTGGTAAGAATACTCGGGGACAAAGTGAAATTAAAATTTGCAATGAATTTCTCAGACAAACCGAACCTTGAAGGAGAGGCCAGTAAACTTCTTGCTTTTGTTAAGTCACTGTTGCGTCTTGTTATTCAGCCAAAAAGCGATAACTCAGGAAAAAGTTTTGAACGCTTGTGTTAGTACGCAAGTAGTATTCCCGCGGCCAGCAGAAGTGCAAACGGATGCTAACCTAGCCCCATGGTTCTCTGACTGGTTGTCCGTAAATTTCCAAAACGACATTTACAGTTCTTTTGTGTGATAGATACACTTTTGATCGTCCTGTACGTCTATCATGAGTTTTGCTGGCCAGTTGTAAGAGTTGATCGAAGTAAACTAGTACAATTTCACCTGCACCCAATAAGTCAGAGTGGGCTGCCGTTCCATATCCTACCAAACGGAATGAAGGTGGTTGACATGATGAGGCTTAGGCTGTGGTAGAGAGGGGGTTCTAAGCTGCGGAGGATCCGTGTGGCTATTCGTTTCTCCTAGCACAAGTTATCCAACTTTCGTAGCCGTTCATAAGGTTCATTTAGTTTGAGTAGAAGCAAAGTTTCAATGTTGTTAACATACGCATGCTTCTGAGCACCGAAAAATGTAAGATATAGGCGCGTACGCTTATCTCATGATAGCTATGACTACTCTAGAGGAACATCACGCTTGTTGCAGAATCCTTTCTGTTACGGAGTTTCTGTATTTCGAATTTTTGTCTATGAGCTTTCCTGCCAACGTAGTATAATTGCCTCCTGGAATAGTGATGTGGTCGTCCTCCAAGCATTGTTTTTGGTTTGGTAACCTATTAGTCATTTCATTTTTTTGGTCAGTAGCCATGCTCAAATATCAGGATTGTGCAGGCAAAAGCAGTGAATGGCTAAAGTCCTGTAGAAAAAGCAGTCGAATACCCCGCCTTACGTAGCAACCAATATATGTATAGCAAGTGATGCGCGCAAGTGATTGAAGTGAAGCATCATCTATAGCCTCGATTGTGTTTTATGATTTTTTGAACCTCTTCATGGGTCAAGGTTGGTACCTACTTTTCTGTGTCACAGCTTTTCTGGTTGACGCGTACTTTTTTTCCTGCGTTGCTGACACACCTTATTTATAAGCTTTATGTCGAAACTCTTGTTCGTCAGTGGAGCAGGAGTCGGTGATCAGTTGGAGGTCCTACGGCATGTGCTGTATGTGCGTTACCTATCGCACATTTTTTTTGGTGCGCAAATTAGTGGGCTTTAGATGGAGGTTCTAGCCTTTTGTGTTCAGCAAAATACATTGAAGAGACTGGTAAGCTGAGCCGCTTGTTGCACCCACCTCCCCACCTCGATCAGCACTTCGAATCAACAAAGGGCGGAGTTGTAAGTCGAGCTTGGATCAATGTGCCGCTAGCGTAGTGCTTATTGAATTTTTCAGGTTGCGCTTATTGCTCTTCTACGCCGCTACTACTACTGACATCCATACCCCCTTCCCCCACTGCCATAACTCCCAATAGTTGTCTCCCTACCCCCACTTCTTCAGTATTTACGAACTTTTTTGAAGCCAAGTCCTCTTCAAGTTCATGATTTCAAATTTCATTCAGTGTGCTTTTTCGGTATCATTATCGCACCGACTTTTCTCAGAAATAAAGGTTGTTATGTATATCAGAATCATTTTGGCAACTTCTGACTATTCCTTCTGAAAATCGTTCGCGATATACGTTTCTCTGATATTTTGGAATTTTCGCGAAAAATGACGTCACATTTCGTTTCTAACACTTCTTTTATGTCTCTATATAATCCACTTCCCTGTTTCGACAGAAAATTGGGATCATTATTTATCTTGCAAGAGTCTTATAGCTGGAACGTCAGTTTTTTGGCCTTTCATTTCGTGGTTCTGGGGAAATTGATCACATAATAGTTTTCCTGCTGTGCACGGGAATGAAGTCTCCGTTCCGCTTTGTATTCATCCAATAAAATCTCTTCGAGGAACCTGAGTTCTGAGTTGAAAATGGCCATTGTTGTGAAATTGATGCATTGAACCAATAATATAATATCTTTTGAATGAAGTAGATGTGCTTTGAAAACACCATTGTCTGTATTGAACATCTAATTTACAGGGGACTGTTATAGTTCTTTTCAGGTAAGCAGCACTCTGCCGAGTCATGGGGAACTGGACGCGCCGTTGCTCGTATTCCTCGTGTTCGTGGAGGTGGTACCCACCGCTCTGGACAGGGAGCTTTTGGCAACATGTGCCGTGGAGGTCACATGTTCGCTCCATTGAAGGTGTTCCGCAGATGGCACCGCCACGTCAACATCGCGCAGAAGCGCTACGCCATCTGTTCGGCCATCGCCGCATCGGGAATTCCTGCCCTTGTACAAGCTCGTGGTCACATCATCGACAAAATCGCTGAGGTCCCATTTGTTGTCAGCGATAAAATCGAATCCTTCCGTAAGACGAAAGAAGCCGTGACATTCCTTCGACGTTCTCACGTCTGGGAAGATATCGAGAAGGTTAGTGCAGTTTTGTCGAGCATTTTTTTTTCACCTTTTTTCAAGTCTCTTTAACGAAGAGTACATATAGGTAACCATTGCTCCGCCAAATTAGTCTATATGTCATCATTTAGGTTTACGCTTCTAAGCGTACACGAGCTGGAACTGGTAAGATGAGAAACAAGCTGCACAAGAGAAAGCTGGGTCCAGTTCTCATCTACGGACAAGATGCTGATTGCGCTCGCGCTTTCCGCAATATCCCAGGAGTTGACATATTGAACGTGGAGCGTCTCAATTTGCTCAAGCTCGCTCCTGGAGGTCATCTTGGCCGTCTCATCATCTGGACTGAGTCAGCTTTCAAGAAGCTTGACGCCATCTACGGATCACTCAAGGCTAACTCCTCTGAGCAGAAGAACGGATGGTCCGTACCTTTGAACAAGCTCACCAATGCCGATCTCTCCAGACTTATTCGCTCCGAGGAAATCGTCCGTGCTGTCAGACCGGTTAAGAAGAACGTGAAGTCAGCGAAGGTGCACAGGAATCCACTTAAGAAGCATAACTTGATGAACAAACTGAACCCTTATGCTGCCACCTTCCGTAAGGCGGGAAAGAAAACCGCGGCTAAGAAGTAAATTGTTACTTGTTGATAAAGATTGTTATGTTATCGTTTATTTAAGACAGTTCATTATAATAATCACTATGTAATATTTTTGGAAGTGAAATTTGCCTCCTTGATCGACTTGGTCGACATTCATCGTGAGATCGGTCTATTTCATCTAACCTGAAAATTTACAACATGTGTAAGAAAGTCAAAAGTCCGAGAAAATGGAAAGCTTACGTCGATTCCCGTTCAAGCTTGCGCACCGTTGTAGATGTAGTTTTTATAGCGGCATCAATTCGACTAAAAATATCCATCATACTTTCCTGCGGACGGTCATCCACCTTTTCGACAGGCTTGGGTGTTTCAGTGCGTGGACTTCGTATTTCTCTAGTGGTTCTATGGCCATCATTTCCTATAGGTATCCGTATTGACGTCTTCAGGTGTAGTGCCTCCACTGACCATAATTTGTTGGCGCGAATTATTGAGGATACCTGAACAATGAAAAGTCAACGGAAAGTAAACCCTTAAAAGATGAACACGGCTTTTGAAATGAGCCGTGTGGGTAGTACGTGACTGCCCGGTAAGAAAGTGGAGGAGAGGTTGCACAGGCAAGTGTCAATAATTAAGATAAATAGTTGTCTGTTCCGTGTTAGGTCCATCCATATTCCCTGGTTTCATATTTCTATGTCGCTGCGGTTCTCGATGAGAGACGAATGCGAGGCGCAATCCATAAAGTAGTTGATCAGCGCCTCTGTTCGTCATTTCCTAATTATCCCAAGTGAAAAAAGTGTAAGTCGTACAGACACCTTCCTGGAGGGTCGACGACATGACCGGTCGATTTTCCGCGATAAATGCTTGGCTCTTGTTTTTACATGCCTTACATGAATCCGAAAATGGAAACATAGGACGCTCAAAGGACGTCTATCAACCAAACGTAGTCTGCTCCGCTCACACCGAGGCAAAGAAGAAGACGGAAGAGACTGCTCTGTTGGAAATGTTATTGGTGTACTGCCTTTGAAATTCGACTATGACTTGTACTTACGCCCCGAAGAACAAGCAGCCTTGTCAAAAGCGAACATTATTAGACTAACCTTATCGCGTCACAGTACACCGCTCAGGATGCGTTAATATCTGTATGGAGAAAGACGTAACTGGTGCAGATGGAGCCAGCGAAAAATTCTATACTCTAGTTCGCTGCGGACGGTTGGGCGTGTCAGGCAGTATGAGTGTGTCACGCCTGTCAAAGCCGTTCTCTGCCTTCTTGTTGAAGCGCGCATGCGACAAAAAGTGGTAGAAAACGAGTAATACGAAGATATGATACAGTCATATCACTTG